ATTGTTGAGTATCTGCATGCATCCACCTCAAGTCTTGATCGAGTGTGAGTCGAGCGTCAAAACTTCAATTCGAGACGTTCAAAGCAGAGAGATCTGGTCGTTCTTTGACTCGCCATTGTGCAACGTCGAAGCCGCAATTCATACCACCGTGGATCGGAGTGAGTCGATCGGAGCTCAAAGTGTATGTTCCCATCAAGCGAAGAGAGGCTGCTGATTGCTCATTGCACCCTAGCTGCTGCACCCTGCGGCCTACGGCATGCGTACCTACACCAACCGTACCGCTACCCTCGCTCCCAGCCGGAGTCGGAGGTATAGCAGGCATTGGGTCGGAGCTGACGTGAGAAAACACAGCTTGTATCACCCATTCTTGACCTCGTCACGCGTGCAAGGGCGCCCAACATCGCATTCGCCAATCCTTTCTCGTTCGGCTTTCTTCAAATGAAGAATCATCACGAGCCAGTCATGTTTGAAAGAGCAAAACCCCCAACTCGAGACTCTCGAGCCTTGATGTCGGTCCTGCTTCCATTCGAGATTGACTCGAATTGGCAATGGACAATCTTGCACTCAGATCTATGATTTGAATCGAAAATTTGGCTCGCAAAAACGCGAATAGGCTCGGCCACGTGGTGGTGCTGATCACCGATCGAGCAGACCCCATGTCTTCCTTCCCCCGCGACAGTCTTGAAGATATCGAAGAAGACGAAACACTTCAGCCCGACTCAGACTGGTCCACGGATCGTGAGTTGTCAAGAGTCACTATGGTCCACGGACCGTGAGCTGTCAAGAGTCACTATGGTCCACGGATCGTGAGCTGTCAAGAGTCACGAGTGATGCTGAGGCACAGCTCCAACATTTCGCTTTTCCTCACATTCTCGGCTGTGTGCAGAAAGCCTAGCTACGCCAGGCTTTGAAATGCTGGCTACAGCTCATCCGCCTGCGAAACGAAAGCCTCTTCTCGATGCGCATCGCAGGGCTTGTGCACCATTGACCAATGCGCAAGCAAGTCGGAAAGTGGAATTTGTACTTCATTGCATGTCGTTGGGTGATAATGTACGCCAGATGGTGGCGAGCTCAAGCGAACACCTTGTTGAAGAAGGAAGAAGTAGCGTCGATGGACTTTTCCCAGCCACTCTTGACCTGCGTGTCCTGGAGATCGGGGCGCAAGCCAAAGCCATGGACGGTGTTTGGGTAAGTGGTGGAAGCTGCATCGAGAAGGTTCTTTGCCTTGAGCTTCGTCTCCCAAGTCTGCCTGAGTTCCGGCGCAAAGAGAGGGTCGAGCTCCGCACCGTTGATCAGAACGGGCGT